AAACTGAAAGAACTCTAAATTGTAAAAAAAATAAAATTTTCAATTTGCTCTACGAGAAAACTATTTACAAAATATTTGGAAATTAAAAATTATGTTTAAAATTGAAATAATTATCTTCTCGTTGTTAAATTATAAATTTATAAAAATAAAATTTAATTTTTATTTGTAATTAATTATTTCGTTATAATTATTATTTTTTTAATCTAATGTTATCAATTACAATAAAAAGCATGCAGATTAAAATGAAAGCTCATGTCTTCAGATTTGGTTTAAGAATAAATATTATATAACATAATTTTTTTTTTATTTTTTAATGTAAATTGAAATTCTCTCTATTGATATTTTTTTCTGCTTATATAATTTATTTGAAATATTGTCTATTATTAGAAATACTGCCAACACAATAGGACATTCCAATAATATCGCATTTCATACCTGATGCTAACAGGGTGTAATTAAACCCCCCAGCACATTTGCAATTATCAAAGAGCCGATTAGTTTGGAGTGTCGCAAAAAACACGCGCAGGCAATAGAGCGAATGTGTGTCGCAGCCACCACCGCAGAGCGACATTATGAAAATGCTGCTGTTGTGCGAGCGTATAATATGTGTGACATAAATATCGAGGGGATTGTATCGCAAAAAAAATGTAAAGCACAAAACACCGATACGTCTTCTCCGGTGGGGATCGATTTCTGCACCCAAGAGAAACTAAATTAAATAACAAATTAATATCCGACGACCATTCTCTCCATCGCTGTAAATCGAACTCGTTTTATGCGGGCTGTGCAATATCCCGCGGCTGAAGAGGAATCGAATGTCCTTTCCCAAAGGTCTGTGGCTCAAACGACAGCTCAATTCGCATGACACATTAACATACATCTATAGCACACGTCTCATATTTTTATTTTGCATCATGATTGTTTCAATTAATTCTCCTCAATGTCGCTGTTTTAAAAAGTAAGTTTTTTAATTAACTGAAAACAAACAATAGAATGATTTTTTTTCCTTTTAAAATTTAAATTATATAGTATTGATTAATATTATTTACAAATATTTTTTTTCCATTTTAGTAAAAAAAAACTTTGTCCCCTCGCTCTAAATTTAACTAATTTTTGTTTTAATGAATTTCTCATTCTTGGGTCTTGCTGGTAAATTAAAAATTAATATTTATAATAATTTAAAATTTCAATGTGTTTGGCGCATCAAAAATGTAAAATCTGGTTTAAATTTGACTATTGTCCTCTTCACCTCTCTTTCTCTTGGAGCAAAACCTTCCTCATCAGTGAGGAAACACATTTGTGGAAAATCTAGGATCCTGAAGCGACCAATAAATATTCAAAGCACGCCGGCAGCGGAGCGTCTCTTTTCCGCAGCACGTTCCGTTTTTGCAGGCAGTTTCGGACGGCAGAGTGTAAAGAGTGCACTTGCACTTCTTACTTTGTTCCAATACGTGAGTGTGTTGGTCGGTTAGTCTCGTGTATGGAGGACGTTCATGTAGGACGCATAAATTTCCCCCCGAGCCCGAATAAATTCAAATGCAGCGAGCAGACGAGCAGCCAACTGCGAGCAAAATAGCCCCTGTGAGTTATGCCGACTGCGCCGTGCATAAAGTGGTGGTATAATTTACAGCCGCGCGCGCGCTCACAAAACGAGCGAGCGTTATCAACTTTGCAATTTATGCATCTCATTATTTGCACGACGAAGTTGCGAGCAAAGTGTGTTAAGACGCGGCGAAACACTTGTAAATTCGCGGCTGCAGACGCACGTCTGGCACTGAAAGACGGATTTATTATTTATGAGAAGTTGAGAGAGAGTTTTGCGCAGCTTTGCCAACAGTTTGTGCTGAAAAGGAAATCTGTTATGATATATGCAATTTTCATTAAGATATTTTGTTGGTTTTCATTTTGGGTTATAGGAAAACTTAACTTGTTTTCCATTTCCATAAAAATTCAAATGGTTTATTTTTAAAATTTAAAATGCCTTGATCAATAATCTATCTTGTTGTGTGGTACTTAATTGATAATAATTAATTGTGACTTATCTTAAAAATATAATATTATGATAATTATTAATTGTTTATGCATTGCCTGCCATCCGTCTAGCAATACTAGCAGGAACTAGACCTGAGCGGTTTTTTAAAGCCGGAAAAGATTTAGTAGGACAAAAACTCCAATTCAAATTTATTCATACAATTTAATGGAAAACAACCGAAAAATTCGAATGCTATTCAGAAAGCTTGAAATTTCTCATTGAGCGGTCAAATGTAGATGGTCAAACTAAACTTTCAACGATTTGTTGCTGCCTAAATGCGTCTCAATAAATCACCGAAGCACCCAAACACAACTCGACCTCGTTATTATGTAGCTTCGGGCTGAAGCGAAACAAATCCAAACTCGGCGCACTGTCGTTGGAAGCAATTTACATTATCGAGAGCAGCAGTTTCGCGAGCTTTGGGCAGATGAGAGTTTCGGCGAATATAGGAGGGTTGTGTGCCCGCCGCACTCGCTCTCAAAACCATTTATCATAGAGAAACCCTGTTTGGTTTGGAGACACGTGTGTGTGTGTGTGTGTGTGTGTGCTGTGTTCTATCTCTATCTCTCTTTCCTTGGCTGTACGTTGCAGCTGGGGCGAGAATTTATTTTGCTTGATGTTCAGCATCTCTCTCTCAGAGGGACTGCGAAATTATCTCTTGCGAGCGGACAGGTCGAGCAAATTGAAATAAATGAGCTTGGCGGATCACAAGTCGGAAAAGGCCGACTGTGAATTGGGCTTGGAACCTGAGAAAACGCAAAACACCACAGTCTGGATCAAATAAATGCTCATGTAAAATGCTGATTTAATTGTTGTTTAGCTAGTTTTTATATGGTTAATGTAAAAATTGTAATAGCTAACAATTTAAAATAATTCACTCAAAAAGCCGGTTTTTTAAGTTTTTTTTTAATATCGTGCGCTTTACCCTTCGAGTTTATTTTAATGAATTGGAAAAATTTTGAAGATTCCAAGCGTCATATTATAGTAAATTATTTGTAAGTCAACCAAGGCTCACTGAGGCGGAAGGGGTCGTTTTAGCAAAGTTCTTGCTAGTAGTGCTGCCATTTTCTTTATTAATTCCTTTTTCTCAAACACATTGTTGACATTGTTTAAAAAAATTAATATAAGCAATGTGATGAAACAATTGGAAAAATAAACAACGTTCAATAATATTTAGTATACACTACATTATATTTTGTATTTTGTATTCCGCTACATAGAATACAACCTAAATTTAAATAAGAGATGCATATTTAACAGATAAAACAGTAAAATAACTTTCACTCGAACCGTTCTGAAAAGTTCCTAACAGCTCTAAAATGGTTGATTAATGCGTAGTCCATATTAAATCAAAATAAAGGGAGGGGTACGAAATCGGGACATTAATTTTGTGGGCATGTTTCTCATTATTCCACTAGGTTATTTTATCTCTGGCTCGCTTACTTTTCATTCGGGGCACGAAGAAAATTCGCTCGCCATATTTCATGAAACTGATAAGAGGTATATGCACAAGTTTTGCCTCCGCCCGAAATTATGATTTATCGCTCCTGCAAAGAAATCAATTTTCCAAAAGCAACTGGCTTTGTGTTTGAGAGAGTCTGAATTAAAGCAGTGAAAATTATATAATTATATTAATTAAGCCCCTTTGCTTTGTTATCCTTAGGAATTTCAATTTACACACGGATTATAATCACATCCCGGCAAATGCCAAAGTTCAAAGAGCTTATAAGTGAGCCGATAAATTAAATCAAAGTGGAACTTTATCGAGGTTTGTTTTCAGAAAGAGAGTTGGCTCGACTCAGCGACTTCGCACAAAGTAAATGGGTAGACTTTGTGGTAAACACGACCGTCGAGCAGGTTGCATACTCGACAAATTGCAGGCTGAATAGCAAAGTCTCGGGAAATTATCTTGCAGCAAAAGGAAAAATTAACTCACTTGGCTCTTGCGAAAATTTATTCTGGGTATTTTGCTCAACTTTGCATAAAAAATCCAGGTCTTCCAGTTTTTATATTTTTATTTATTTACGGCCGTGAACCCTTGAAAATAAAAAAAGGTCTGCTCTGTATGCATGCAAATAGTCGCAGCTAGAGGATCTCGGGATAAATGTGCCGTATTTCCGAGTTTATGCGCCAACCCAGCCAGCCACCAGCTATTTTACGAAGTGCGCCCAACATTGTTTATACACACACGCACTTGCATGTAATTTGAATTTATGTCACACACGGGCAACAACCAGAGTAGTGTGCAGTGCGCGGAAACGAGGGCCTATTCAAAACAGCCAGGACCCTTATAAAGAGAGCCTCTTACCTTTGCCTTTTTTTATACAGTAAAATTTAAAAAATACAATCCTGCCAACCCTTACGGCCCTCTTGAGCCTTAACCTGTTAATTAGATTACTAAACTCTTTTCTAATTTATTTTATTTGTTATTAAATTTAATTTATTTTTATAAGAAAAATTTGTTAAAGCTAATTTTTAGAACATTACAGACATACTCTTTGAAAATTCCCAATGGTGTAATTTTGTTATCTTAATAGGCCTTCTCTGAGAGCTTATTGCTTTTATACAAGGCAAATAACATCGGCTGGTCTCGCAAACACGTTAGACACGCATATTCAGTCAGTAAATAACTGTTTCAAGACGCCTAAATGGTAAATGCGCCATAAATTACACTTGAGAGGAGTCTCTGTTTCCCTTGACGTTTTGAAAATAAATATTTAAGTGTGACTAGCGTACACACCAAATTTGCACATCAAAAGCAGACGAGATGCGCAGTGATTGTTCAAAGATATAATATAGAAGGCATTAAAACAATTATGTTAAAATTAATTTATTTCTTATTGTCCGAAATAAAAATTTCTATTTAACTCTATTTTTCAGATACGAGTTTTACTTTTAAATTTAAATTTTAAGACTTCTATTAAAGCAATATCTCACTAATGAAAGACTTAAGATGAACTGAATTGGATTAAAATTTAAATAAAAATATATTTTATTGAGGCAAAACAAGTTCATGTAAGAAACAAGTGTTTTGATAGCTCAACAGATTCTTTCTAATTTTGGATTAAATCTTTCAGGAGCTTTTGGAAGATCAATGGTTGGTACGTCTGGATATTCACTACCATTGCCGCCTCCATGACCACCATTGCCACCTCCGTTTCCTCCGTTGCCGCCTCCATTGCCTCCGTTTTCACCTCCACCGCCCCCATTGCCTCCATTTCCACCTCCGCCGCCGCCGCCATTGCCTCCATTTCCACCTCCGCCGCCGCCTCCATTGCCTCCATTTCCACCTCCACTGCCTCCATTGCTTCCTCCGCCGCCGCCTCCACCTCCTCCGCCGTTACCGCCATTTCCGTGTCTTAAAAGTTCTCGCTCTTTGCAGTTTGGCGCTGGAAAAGCATCGCAAACGCATGCCAAAGCAAGGCAGGCAAATGCTGCCACAAATCTGGGGATTAATTAAGAACAGAGTGAAATACTGAAGAAAAAACACAATTTTGCAACTAAATATAATTATTTAAGTTCATTTTAATCGTATAAAAAAATACTCACGCTATCCTCATATTTTGTTTGAGCTGCCCCAAAGATGATCTTCTTCAACTCTAGATTAAAAGTGCTCACCGCATCAACCGTGTCGGTGCTTTTTATAATTACAGTAGTCTCAACTGGTTCACGCAGTGAGCCATATCAGCAATCCAAAGTCATTCAGTGAAACACGAAAAGCTTTTTAGATAAGCCACTTCAATCACTTGCAATCCATCACAATGATTAACGTGTTTTCTTTTTGGTTAATTCAACAAACAATTCGATGTAAAAATCATCCTTCGTGTTAATTTTTTTGCAAGTTGCATCTTTACAAATGTAATATTTTTAATTAATCACTGGCTCTTGTGTTACGGCGTTTTTTGATAACACTAAAAGCATTTTAATTAAATTTCTTAAGTGCCTGCCGATTAAATAAAACCTGCATTATTCAAAATGCTAATTAGCTTTCAATGCTATCAATAATTCCGCGTAATAGAATGATAAGCTGCACACCAATTTCCCATCTGTGAGGATCAAAGATTAAATTCAACTGACACAAATTTTATATTTACGCCTTTTAATTCTTGATATTCGCAAGCATCGCGTGCAGTTTATATATCAGGCAGAGTTTGTGAGTTACTCAGCCAATTCAAAAGCGGTTTACAAATAGGCTGTTATGCTATATGGTGAGATCTCCAAAAGCCTTGTTCAATTTCTATAAAAATTTTAGGAAAACTCTTTTTCATAATATTTGTGAGTTATTTGTTTATTAAAAATTATAATATATTTTCTTTCCTTTTAAATTGTTTAAGGACCGTTTTTTCATCATATTTTATAATAAAGCACTTATTCTCATATAGAATATTTTCCCTTTTTCTCTCCTATTTCTTTTACAAAAAAAATGTAATGATAGTTGATAAATAAAACAGAAGAAAGCTATCAGTTTCACCCTATAAGCGAGAGTTTATTCAATAACAATGGAACAGAAATGATTTACAGGCGTGTGTTGGGAGCGTGGCTCTCAATCGTTGTGGGTGATTTTTTGCTCCTCCATATATTTATAGCTTTATAGCTCAACTCTTTTCGCTTTCTATATATATTATACGTGCTTTTTTTCTCTTTTCCTTCTCCAGCGTCCGCCCAAAAACTCCATAAGAAAATAACCACGTGAGGCACCACATTTGCAGAGAAAAAAAACAAGTCTTGTGTTTGGCGGAGCTTTTTTGCTTGGCCTCAGCGCGAATAAAAGCTGACGGATGACTTTCTATTTTATCTTTCACCAGTTATCTGATGGCAGTGGCAAAAAATACAGAGTTTCCAAAAACGTCCCCTTCGTTCCTTACGAGTGTTTTTGCTCTCTTAATTCTTTTTCGCACTCCGTTCCAGAAAAAAAAACATAAATTATATAAAAAAAACTTCCCGTATGGAAAATAAAGCGTTGAAACAATCTTCTCTAAGTTTTTATCGACTTTTAATTTAATAAAATATTAAATTTTTTTTAAATGCTTCAAAAATTGAAATTATGTTCATCAAATCTATCACAATAAAGGCCTGCAATTAAATTAAATTCAAAAGCTTAATTATTTTTATAACTTGTTTTTTTAAACTTTCTTATTGTGTGTCTTGGAAATAAATCAGCCGGTCCGGAATAAGCAGTTTCCTAAAGCGGCCTCGTTGGGATAGATAACGCATCCTTTATCTGCCAACCCATTATCCCCTTGTTTTACATTTTTTATCCCTAACTTGATGTGCTGCATACTTACAAGGATCTTCTTGAGATGGATATTCGCATCACGCATGCCATGTAAAAGTGTCTTCTACTGAAAATGCTTTTCTAGATAATACTTTCTTTTTTTGCAACACCACCGCAAAACTCGATTATTTTTCCTTAAACCAAATTTAACTCAAATTTACAATGTTGTTAAGGATTGTTTTTTTATAACATTGGAATAACGCGTATATCTTAGCTTCAAGTTAGAAATAAATCCCCCATCATAAAGATGGATTAGAATGAAAAACGTATTCAATCAAGCGAACATGGTGTCCGTCCTCCGGGAAAAAGGTCTTGATGGTTGCAAAAAGCTTAAACTCCTCAGACTACTGATGTCTTCGAGCGTGAGTTTGAAGATAAAAAGAGCAGGCCATTCGTTGCTTCGCGTCCATGCTACTACAAATCATCAATCAAATTGCTTTTTGCGTCCACTTGCAGCAAAGGTGCTTGTCCAAAAGCGAATCTGTTGACGACGGATGTGAAACATCAACCATTTTATAAGATTATTTTTTTCTAATCTAGTGCGTTTAATTGCATTTTTTGGAAATGAGAATCTCCTTTGAATGCATGCCATTTGAATAAAGTCAAGAGATGGAAGCTTTATTGCTTTCAAACTCCATAACGACTTAGCAAGCAAGCGCTTCAATCGCGACAATTAATTAGGTCGGCTTAAGATAAATCGTTCCCTTGGCAACGACTCTGCTAATTGCAAACAGAGAGGCAAAGTGCAGTTTGTAAAATTACTATCCCTTGGAAGTGTGCTGTACGGCTGATGCTTCTTTCTTTTGTTAAGCTATCATAGTTTCATTTCATAAGCTTCCTTTGTACCAAAAAATGGAATTAGACTTCTTAAAATATTTTTTCTATGTACTACCGTCCATAAATTTTAAATATCCTATCGTAATTTCGACTAGTCCTGACCTGACGTTTCAAAAGGTAACCAACCTGTAGCACAAATTAGTCAGTAGAAATAAATAAATTTTATTCTTTTATACTTTCACATTATAATTTTAAAATTATGCTTCTTTTTCTATTATCCAATTAAAATCTTCAGCTAGCCTGTAGCTCAATACCAGGAAAAATGGGTTACGTTTTTTTTTTTCTTATGGCACCCGTGAGCTTATTAGGCTATTGGGTCGGTCTTACGGGTTACGTAAATTTTGATATTTTCATGTCATCTGAAAAAAGGTTTGTACAGATTTTTTTTTTTTTTTTGTTAAATAACTTTAAAAACAGAAATTTAATTTTTTGTTATTAAATTTTGTAGTGCATATTAATATAAATTAATTTAAAAACCACATTAAAAAAATAAAATTTAAAATAATGGTTTATTTAGAATAAGATACTTATTTTGTGATAGTAAAAAGAAAAGCTGAAGCAGACTGGGTTCAAGAATACCAATATGGACGCCCTCCGTCGGAGCACGGCTGAACCCTTTTGAGCACCATCCTCCGCTCCTCTCCGCCTTGTGGTGCTCATTAAGCAAAGCTGGTAAAACATTTTTATTTGAATGGCAAACTGCTTTCGTATTGTATGTCAACGCCAACTTTGTAGAATCGACTTGAAAGCAAAGTTGTTACATATATGTATGCAAAGTGCGAGTTCATTTTCTAATTTGAAACAATGTATTGTTGCGTCATGCAGCTTGTATATTTGAACGTTCCACTTGCATAGCACAGGGTGGAAAAGCCAAAGGATTAATGCTTTGTGCAAACTTTGCGAGAACAATCAAGCAGCAGATGCGTTAGCTAATTCAACAGCTTGGCGTCAATAATACATAAAACAATGTTGATTGGGCATAATCCTATTTTATTTTGTAGGGAAAAGACAAGTTTCGTGAAGATTATTTATTTCTTGTAATATATAAAAGGAATTTGAAATAAAATAAGATCCGTTGAAAATCAATCCGCTTCCCCTTGAACATATTTTTTTACAGTAAAATTCTCCAAATTGATTTGCAAATCTTCTTTAAGTAGTATATGTATGAACTAACTGTAAGAAAATTAATTATTTGAAATTGAATTCTGATGCCAAAATTTTAGTTAGAAATCTCGATAACAAAATGAATTCCGTTTTCAGATTTAATCTTGAAAAATAAAGACAAGCATCCTGACCATTACCACATGACTATCGAATTCGAAATATCAGTTATTAGTAAATTTTAAATTCTTTAAATCTAAAGTCACTCTTCCAACATTATTTTTAATTTTCTTAAATTGATTGAAGTTTTCGGTATTATTTCTCACAATCAGACAAATTTCCTTTTAAATTTTCTATATTGAATGTAGCAGTTGGTGTAATGAAAAAAATGATTAATAATTTTATGTGTGGTATTCCTTTGAATAAATATATTTTTTTTCATTCCTCCCGCTGTCACTTTTTGACTTTTTTTAAATTAGAGTTTAAAATTCTAATATAAATTGAGCATGAATTATTATTATTATTACTACTTAATTTCTTTCTTTCTTTTTCAAGAGGTTTCTCAAATAAAAAAATTATTTCTGATTATTTCAGTGAAATAAAGAAATTTGAAATTTCCTAGTTTTGCCAGAGCATACCATATTCTCTGCAAATCGCGCCTTTGAAGCCTCTCTATCCTGAGGCAGTGTCAAATTAGTTGGATTGACACGAGTTCTCGTCTTTCTCTCTTCTGTATTGTAGCAATATCGATTGGCCAAATAATTAACTGCTGGAAACCGGAGAGTGAGAGACACGGAACTTTTTATCTTGGGCAATATTTTTTTTTTTTCTGTCTCGTTTTACTTCTGCTGTGTGTGCCCAGTAAATTGGGTGGTTTTCTGATGTCGCGTCGAGGGAACGAGGAGGAAAGTTTATTCAACTTCCACCCTCTCTCGTGAGATGAATTCAAAGGGATGTAGTTCGCAGAGTCGCCCACGGTGATGAAATTCTGCCGCTTTGTGAAAGACCACTCGAGCTGCAGCTCTCCGATGTTTGAATTAAAGGCATGCCCGCCTCTTCGAATTTTCTTTTCGTACGCGTTTGACTGCGAGAGATCGGGTGACGCTGAAAGGCGTGAAGATACCGAAATGGATTTTGCTTGTACAGACCCTGTTTAGAAGTCATGTGAATGAAAAAGTAATAATTTAGCTTGACTGTAGAAATTCACGACGCAACCTGCTTAACTTGGATGTCAGTAAAGTTGCATACCTTTCAAAAGTGCAGTTTTTCTTACAATAATTTATTTAAAAGCACTAAAGTACTTTCTTTTTTTTTTTCAAAACATTTTTAACATTTTGTTGAATTACAAAATTCAGACAACAATCATGTAAAATGGTAGCGTTTTTTTTTCATGAAACTTTTTTATATGGTTATCTCAAAACGTACAAATGAAATGATACAGTTTTATCTTCAAAAATTTAGAAAACTTAAATTTATGAATTAATGTTTTGCTATTCTCTTTATATTTCAATCAATTTAAAGTAAAGATTTTTCATTTCGAATGGGGAGCTCGGAACGCTGGAATAAAAAAGTAAGGTTTGCTGCTTGTTGACACAGCAGTTTCATTTTTCGTCCTGTCATACGTCAGTCAGCAGCCTCGTCGTCGTTTTAGGTTTCGCATGCACACATTTCTCTCCCAAGTTGTTTTCGCGAGGCTTACTTGACTTTTTTCAAAAGAGGGTGAATTTCGTATATTTTTTCAAACTTCCGCTAAAAAAGAGAAAAGTGTTTTAAAAGAACGGAGAAAAATGAAGGAACGTGGCGCGTTTTAATTTTGTGCATTGGTCCGTGATGCTTTATTCGTTGATAATAAATAAATTCGCAAGCTCGTAAATACGCAGCGCGTGTGTTATGGTTTGCCGTCTTAACGGCTCGGCTATGCTGAGTGATATTTTTACGGTTACGAGAGGGAGTGATAGAGAAGCCCTTGGTGGTGTGTTATTTCATGCAAAGTGAGCAAATTCAGCACTTTGTGCGTGCCTAGTTCGCAAACAAAAATACATAACATGCGCAAAGCGTTAAAATACTCACTCTGTTTTTGCCTTGATGTTTGTGCTTTAATGTTTTTTTGCTTTGTGCATTAAAGCAGATTTTGTTTTAATTTAAAGAAAAACAAATCTTGATGTTCATTTGTGACTTATCCTCAAACCTCGAAGAGAAGTTTTATTAATTTTCAATTCTTCCACATTTTAAAAAGCCTGAATAATTATTATACAAAACCTGGTTGAATAGCATTTCATCCGAAAAGACTATAATTAATTTGAACGACTGATAATTAGTCACTGATTCACTGTTGCAACTTTTTAAAAGTGAAGGTAAAATTGAGTTTGTTGTAAAAGATACATTTTCTTTTTTTTCAAAAAGAAAGTAAGTTCTAAAGAATTATCAGAATCACTTGCTTGAAAATTTGTTCAAAACTGCATTAAAATAGAAAAATAAAAAATTACAATCAGGGATAAATAAAAAAAAATGAAATAAATTGCTAAATTTAATGCCTTTAAAAATTAGATATTTTCCTTAAGTTTTAAGAAGTAAAATTGAGTCAAATCTTAAAAAAAAATTAAATTTTATTCATTTAGAAAAAAATCAATTGTAAAAATGTATTATTTTTGGAAATAAAGATCATCAGATCATTAATTTATTTGGCTTTGGGCAATGAGCTTTATATTTTATTTATTTCACAAAATAATTCATTCTGCAGTGTTTGCTTTTCATTTTCAATTCACAGTGAAAAGAGCAGTCGGTGCGGACTAAAATTAATGACAGACGAGGTCGCACGCTGGAAAAGGGTTCCAACCCCGAAATGCATAATGAACGAGCCCCGGTGACGTCACGCGCTTTGTGCTGGAGAGCGCGCGTGAGTAAATTTTGATTTGCAACGTTTTGCCCTATAATAGTTTGCTTGCTTTGTGCGCGCGTGGTGTTTGCTGTGAGAAGGGCGAAAGAGCGACGAGAAAGTCTGGAGGAGAGAACCAACCACGCACCATATTGATTCATCTTGGCAAAGCACACGGAGCAGATTTTCGTACAAACACAATTTACACCTGGAGTTGTGTGGTCCAAGTTCAGCAAACGCACACATACAAGCACAAGATCTAATAAACTATGAGAGCGTTTCCATTTGCTGCTGAAAGGATCAGAACCATAAACACCCAAATATAGACCATCAGTTTTATAAGAGCAAAATTCAATTTCAATTTCATTGGTCTAATTAATTAAATTTCTTTGAAATTTAATTTATTTTTAAATAATATATTAAAATATAAGTTAAATTACTGTTAATTTCAAATGAATATGAAATGAATTTTAAAAAATATCTCGTCTGGATTCTGGAGTAATTTATTTAATTTATGGTGATCCTTTCAATTTAACTTTTATAATGAAATTTCAATCCCTGATTAGATTTTAAATTTTCAAACATTTGACCTAGCTCTGCGCTTCTCCTCATGTTTACTTTCCATCTCGATCCCGTGTCAATCTTCTCTCTTGGCCCCTCTATGCTGCTGGTTCATTAATTCAATTACGTTCCATTTCCGGCTCAACTGTCGCGCTAAATAATAATGTAAAAGCAACCAGGCCCACTCTCGCTTGCTCTCAATATATAATGCGCGTATCTTTAAATTATTCTCCCTCTCCGCCGTGTATGCATCAAGAGCGCAGCCAAGTGTGCTGCTGGTCCATTGTGCATCTTAAAAAATCAAACTCTGGAGATCGTTGCTGGTAAAAGGGTTCCTCCTTTAAAAAAAAACTGTCTTTAAAAAAAAATATTATGAGATGCGCTTCTTTCTCTTCCTCTCCTTTTACGCTGAGATAATTATTATACCTAATTTCTAACGGATTAGAAAAAATATAGTTTTTTTCCTTCGAAAATTCAGTTTATTTTTAATTGGAAAACTCTAGAAAACAAACCATTTTTAAAAGTGATGGATCTATTTCCTTTAAAACTTGAACTAAAATCATCACTGAGGATTTTTACAGTCAAAATTATTATTTTAAAAGTATAAACTTTAATAATTCAGCCTCAGTTATTTTTAATTACGTACCAGTTTTATTATTTACAGTTGAAATGATTAATTATACTATTATCATTACCCCCATTAAACATGTCCTCACCTTATATACGCAGCCATAGCACATACATGTGTTTGAATTAAGAGATATGAGTGTGGGAAACCAGCAGGGCTAAAGAGCGAATTCGTGTTCACGTTGTAAAGTGCAGTAAGGATACACGTGAGTTTGCACCACAAATAAACGAAATTAATACAAATTGCGTAGCGTCCGTGATCCCTTTTTAAATTTTAAATATTTGCAAAATCCAAATGCAATAAGTGTGTGGAGATATTAATCTCTTTTTTGTGCATGTTTCAAAACATTCTTAGCTTAGCATTAGCACCAATTAGCACATTATTTTTGATCTATCAAATTTGAATAAAAAAAAAATGTTCTTAACAAATCTTTAATGCATCTTTTATTTTTAAATATTTTCTGTTGATGATTTAATCATTGTCTTCTTAATGCGTAATTAACATAATATCTGAAGCTCAAAATACTCTAATACATTATACTTTTTTATGCTTTTTAATATTTTGAAATCAAAGTTTAATTGTGGCAGGAATTGATTATTGATTGAAATTGAAATTTAACAGTATTCATTGCATAATTATATTCTTCGAATTCGGTGTCGGTGGACATAATGTTTGCTAGTTTGCTATAGTTTCAAGTTTCCTTTTTTTTTAAATCATAAAATTTCCGCAAAACACTTCAATTAATCTTTTAAATTAAATGAACTGGCAAAATAATTCCTATTTAACAATTAGTGATTTCAACGTCTGTAATTAAGCAGCCACAGAAAGCGACCGCATTGAAATCCGAACGCGAAATTCCTGGGTTGCTCGGAAAAGCGGAAATTGCGGAAAACCTCAGCGAGACGAAACTTTCCCGCTGCAGCGATAGAAATACGCGATTCAACCTAGAGAGGGAGAACCTGAGGCGCAGACGAGCCTGTTCGGAATAAAGAGCGCCTGGCTCGCGAGGCTAGCCTCAAATCGGCGGGCACGTAGTTCCAGAAACGGCCGCCACGGGCGCTTGGCCGGCGTAGCGGTGGCGCTAGTGAGGCCGTCTCTGGGTGCTGCTGCTGCTTGTCCGCTTGTGTATCCAAGCTTTTGGTGATTGCGTACGTCAGGACTAACTATCGGCCGACTGACACTCGGGCCGAATCGCAGCCGCCACCGTCTGAAAGTGGGCGAATTTGGCGTCGATCGGCAGCAGTTATTCGTATAGGGCGGCGCCACCGGCGCTCCTCAGTGTCCCAGTGTTGACCCGAGTGCTTCGAGTGACCCGCCTGTGCCCTTTTGCCCAGCAACTTTCCGCCCTGCCCGGCACGGCTGGAAAGTATACAACACACTCGCAGTTCGTGCCCCCCTGTATTTTTGTGCAGTTCCCAGTTCGAGACCCGACAACCACCTGCCCGTCAAGATCATACTCGCTGCAGCCAGAGAAGACGGGATAGTTTGGCGGACAACACAAAACATGAACACAGGTGAGGATCTTCTTCGCCCTCGGGCGCCACCTGACACATTAAACAACGTACCTGACTACCCCTTAACGTCTCCCAGATTTCACTCAATCTGATCTTTTAGCTTCAAATCATATTAAATTTATTAATTTATATTTAGAATACCCATTTAATTGTAGGCGTTCATCATTTTAGCAATTGAAAAAAAAATACAGAAGTGGAAATTTGCTGCATTTTAAATTGTTTGATTTTGCTTTGTCTACAAGATTTTAATGTGCAAAGTATGTAAATATATTATTAGCTTGTAGTAGTTATCAAAAGTTGTAGGAAAGAATATTATTTTGTATTTGAAATTTTTTATTAAACTTATTAATTCAAAGATCTAAATTAAATATTATAATTTTGCGTCAGTGAATGGTATTAGAAATTAAAATAAATTTTTTGCATATTAAATAAATGTGATTTAAATTTGCCGGAGAATTTGGAAGTCAATAACTACCTATAAATATCTAATTAAAATAAATTAATTTTATATTCCAAAAAGGGTTAAAAAAAGAAAAAATATTAAGGAACATTTGAATTTTGAATGTTTCATAGGGATACAATTTTCTTTAAAATTTGATATTTTTAAATTAAAACTAGAAGTTAAAATTCTTTAAATTAAAAAAAAAAATTATTTCTTGAATCAATTACGAGCCCTTGGATTGTAATATTTTTTATTCCAAAAGCAGAATTATTGATCCCTTGCAATATTTGCTTGGTTTTACTAAAATCAGAAAAGAATATTAAATGTATGACGTTTATCAAAATAATATGGGCGAAAAAAAACTAACTGAAATAATTGCTTTCAATGATTTGAATTTATCTCGGTGGTTTCCCCGCAAAATCACCAAAAACCATAGATATTTTGTTTCTGCGTGGAACAGTTTCAGTGGGAATTTATTTTCAACGCAAAATTTAATCAGTACGGCTGAGTTTGCCAAAAACAAGCCTCAAAACCAGCGAGTCGGAAGTAATGAAACTAATTTTACTTGATTTATTTTCCATTCTAAAATTGTGATTAAAATTAGAAACAATGGGGTCGCATTATCAAATTCGAGAGAGGCACATGACCCTGCGTGCACCTGTGCTGGCCGCCGAGATTCCTTCCCTGGCCAGCAGACTGACTCACTGACTGCAGCTAGTCTAGTGTGTTATTACGTTGATGCTTTTTTTTGTCGTTAAATCCTTCCTTTTCTTTCTCCTCTCTCAATCCGTGGCGAGAGATAAAGGCGGCTAAAAGCGGGTCCGACGATGCGAGCCAGGTTCAGATCGTCTGCCGAGGGAGACGCGACCTGGCAACGCCGCTCTTTTCTTCCTCCTTGGCTTGTGTTTTCAGGTTGCTCGTCGCGGAGAGACGATGCCAAAAACGGCCCCGCACTGCTTTTGAATAAATAATGTCATTAAAAATTATCAAATGCGGAGGAAAATGATAATACAATTACAATTAATCCAGTTGATAAGTTTTACCAGAGTAATTAAAAAAAAAATTAATTGAAAATTTTTGTTTTAACCCAGAGAAATTTATTTAAAATAAGAATAGATTTGCTCAAAACCTTATGAATCAATTCATTAATTATTAAGAAAAATACAAATAAATTCTGATGAAAACCACAGGTTATTATAAGAATATGTTCATGAACTTGCAAATTTTATTGGATGGAATATTTTTCTGATGCTTGTAGACGTCTGGAATCATTAAATGCGCGTCATAAATTTTGTATTTTTTAGCGGAGAAACTATTTTTATAGCGACTAGATTAGACTGTATCCGACAATCTAGGCCATTTTTTTTAATAAAATCATGCAGACGCAATAACACAAAATTAAATTAACTTCAAAGAAAACGTACAAAAATTATTAATTTCTCTGTAATTTCCATTTTAAATATTGCATTAATAGAAACCAACTGTCAACTTTTCTAAAATTTTCTTCTTAATTTATAAAAACTGTCAACTCATAATGAAAATTAATAATTGGCTAAATTTAACGACCACAAATTAATCATTTAGAAAGCCGAGTAAAACCACAAGCAAACTGAAGCACTACAAAGGTGACCAATTTTCGCTGTCACTAAATATTTCACTAATTGTAATAGTTACTGTTTCACAAACTTTAAATTTTAAAACAGACTTAAGCTAATCAGCTTACAAAAAACAAGGTAGAATCATCGCTTAATGTTTGGCTGAATTTTTTTTTTATCAAAATTTGAAATTCTTCGCAATTTATTTTCCGCAAATATCATTTTTTTTCTTCTGCCCAGACGCCCCAGACTCACAATTAGATTATTTGTAGCCCGTATAAATAATAGGATTTATTAAATTATTACGCTTTTGTAATAAATCTATAATTAAATGTTAAATGCTGATCTCGGATTATTTTGGGACATCATACATATTTTGTGAACGTCTTGCACGGTACGTGACGTTCATCCTCAGAGGACACCCTCGAAGGCCCACTTGATGTTGATTGACTGACGGGGCTGTCTAATCAAAAACGGGGAAAAGTGTTGGCTGTGCCGTGCAGAAAGAGGTCAATATTCGCCCCCTTCTCCCTTTGCCTCTCTTGCGCTGATGGAATTCATTGCCGTAGGTCTGTCTGAAATATACGGAAAAAGTGGCGAGAACGTTTCGTGAATAACAGGAGCCGACACTGGGGGCGACTTTTGTTCTGCTCGGCTGAAAAGAGAATTGGTTTTCCAACTGGGAAAAAATGAGAGCTCCAAAATGTCATTTCTTTTAATAAATAAAATTGGAATTCCAACTCATATTTGATAATAAATAATGTAAAACAAGGAAAAATGTTACGCAAATTTTAGTCGAAGGTCACTGGATTTGCATTTGTTTTTTCTAGCCGACTTTGTTTGGCTTCCAGCATTACAGAGTACAGATTAATCGCGCACCAAAATGTCAATGACAAACAACAACAATCCGGTGGCGACCCTGCGCGCCAAAGTTGTGCGTGGCTGGCGTGAGCACAGAATAAAAGTGCTCGTTGTAGATTTTGATAAGTTTTCCCAGCGCCGGCGAATTAATTTGCTCCAGTTGAGCTGCAAAAGGCGCGATGAGAATCGGAACTGGCGTGAGAGAATTCAAGAGCAAATTATCCAGACGACGCGCGGCTCGAGACTACTTTGTTCCTGCAGCGTATAAAAATTATCTTCCGCTCTCTAATAAAAAAGCCAACTACTGCGTTTCAAGTGTCTTTTCCTGCACGGCGGAAAGAGAGTGCATTAAAATTTCTATTTTTACCCCAGTTTTACGATGAACGGAATAACAGAGCAGGGAAATCAATTGGAATAATGTTCACTTTCCAAATCTCTGCCTCTCTTGAAAGTTATCGTGTTTTTCATAAATTTTACAAACATTTTATAGCTCTACTAAAATTATAAATAAATCTTATGAATATTTGAACGTGAGAAACGTCATAGTATACATTTGATGAAAAATCTAACAAAACTTGTATTAAAATTATTTTTCAAGATTGTTTAATGTAATAATCTTTGTTTTCTATGAAAAGAAATTTCATGTATTTTTTTACTTGAAAGATCATCAAAGCTGAATTTAGAGCAGACTTATACAAAAAATCTACTACTTTACCGATTTTCTCTCACTTTGATATCAAAATGACTTAAATTCTTATTTTTAATATTCAATCAATGTCGGATAAACATTCAATTTGCAAGTTAGCACTTGCAAATTGTGGTGCTAACTTAATTAACATAAAAATTTGTCCCTATTTAGCAACGACTTGATTCTTCCTTAACCCTCGTTGAGCTTTCACCAATCACTGATTCAAAAATTACTTTATAATGTTTATTAAGTAGACCATTTTCCCGAGGTCACCGGTTCAATTTTTTCGACCTGAGCGATTTAACCGCGAAAGGCCAGCAGGCTGTTGCCGCCGGCAATCAAAGGGCCGTCGGAGCAACGGGACATGCAACTCGGCCAGGCAGACTTTCGTGTCAAGCAGATGGACGTGACCTAACAGAGGCTTTTGCGATTATTGTTATTACTTGTGCAAAACGTCAACGTTTGCACACGTGGAAAAAAACAGGTTCGCCACCCTGTCCGAACCATAAATCTCTTTTGCACGCGACCGACGCCTGTAGCATAATTAAAAACACCGAAGGTGTTAAGGCGTGAAATTCATTGAAGCCAAACGAGAAAAAATTAAAAAAAAAAAAATGATTTTTGGTGGAAGATACATGCCAAGTTAACTTCACATTGATAAAATACAAAATACTGAATAATTTGGAATTGTGCGTAATTAATTTTATAGCGAAATTAAAAATCTTTTAAAATATTTATAATTCAATTTAATCGCTCCAGACGGATGAGAAGTTTTTGTGGAGTTTGACGGAAAAAGAATAGTTTATTTTTTGTTTACCGCTTTCTATGTGAATCTGTGGTTGAATTAAAGATAATATCGCGTCTTTGATTCTTGAAAGATACCAAAGTAATTGTGTGTCTGTGGCGCACTTGCTCGGTCAGCAAGCGGAAGAAAAATTGAAGTGCTCGCCAGCACTAAACAAAGAAAAGGCAATTGGCCTTTCTCCTTTTGCTTCCATCATCAAGGGGCAATCAGAGCGGCAGACCTTTTCACCGAATATTGAAATTTCTGCCTGTGAGACAATCAGAGCAGCACAAAACCGCGGCCAAAACGCAAAAGATAGTGAGAAAATGTAAAAAAATTCGCGGTCGATGCCTCAGGTTGTGGGAAGTTGTTCCATTGTATGCCCAAAATTTTTGCTTAAAACTCTGCAAAAGAAGAGTTTATTTTTATATATTTGTCCGAAAGACCAGCTGCAATTTAATTTCCGACTGGCTGCCGGATTATATGAACCTCGAGACTGGCGAAAGACGTTTCAGCATAATAAAGAGAGAAAAGGTCGATGCGCTTTTTGCTGCCGAGCACCACACCGCACCAGCCGTTGGGGATAATGAGATGTGCCGAATCGGCGCAAACAAGGAAATTAATAAGCCT